CAGTCTTCCGTTATAGTTTCATTGTACTTCGCTACTGCCCCTTCGAATACCCAGTCCTTCAACTCAAAGGCAGGATCGCCATGTAAAGTCGGGAACATTAAAACAACCTGAGGACCTTCGATGACCAAGTTTTTTAATTGATTGCCGGTGAAAATCCTTTTTGGTGCACATCGCACCGATATTATCATAACCCAAAAAAAAACTGCTTACGTTTATTAAACCGACGTATAGGTACAAGAATATAGTTTCCAAATATCAAACATATAACAAATATAATTATAATAACTGAATCATCTTTATAATGAGGTTGGTGTAACCGTGATAGCAATGATGAAATGTATTGACAATTTTTAATATGAACGGTTTGATGAACTCAAGCTGTTACAAAACAAAGGAAGGCCATCAATATTGAAACTAATTTCAATAAACTCATCAGTGAACAGCAAATGCTGAGTAAGAAAAATTTTCAAATTGACTGCTAAACCTATATGACAGTATTCACCTGTATTCAACAATTTGGTATTCATACTTCCAGACGTTTTCAATAATGTCCTGCAATCAAGCGGTAATCCAGGGTGATAAGGAGACAAAATATGTAATAATTTAGTTACTCCTGATTGTGGTACTGATCAGGTACTTGCCCAATACTTTAGTTATTTGTATAACCTTTGATCACCACAGTCTGTAGGAAGAATATCCACAGTAACATTATTAGCATCAAAAAAGTCCAGGTTGATATCTCCTAAGTTATTACAACTGCCAGGATCAGAAATATACACCGCCTTGAATATGTCAGTATCATTTTCATTACTGGTTTCTAAGACGTTTATATTATCACTATCGGTTTCTGAGTCATCAATATTATGAGGACAAATTTCATTATCAACCACATTACTGACACCTACAGTAATGTCGGCCTCTATTTCACAAAAAATAGACTGTTTTGACTTATTTACCCTTCTGAATAATTGAATGTAGTAAAACATTTACAATAACTTTTAGTAAAATTACCTAACTTTTATGAGTTCATCACTTGTTTCACATTTTTTCATCTGGTTTGGTTCGTTGTGGTGCGTGTTTCAGCCAATTCTTTATGATGTCTTCTATGTCCTTTTCTGCAGCACCTTCAGATTCTGATAATTTGATGACACCTGGAATGAATGCTTTTGTGAATAGGATGAACAAACTTTCTCAGAACTTTTTTTCAACTCATTCACAATGAGAATTTACATTATTTAGTCATATCACTATGATGTACCCACACAGAATATGATTCAATTCTACTTCGAAAAAATGAAGCGGGTATTTGATTTTCAAGAAATATTGAGGGTGTACTAGTTTTTATACCCCCAAGTAGGGTGCGTCAGGCAGCACTAAAGTGCAAAGATCTAACACCCAGTTCTCATTATCAAGAACAAACAAAAATTGAATCACTATTGACCGTTGAGTCAAAACTAATAATAAACAATATTTTTACCATTAGCTATGACACAATGAATTCCATATTATCCTAAAACAAATCAGGAATGTACAATAAAATATTTACTTCATAAAACTTCTATTCACAAAAGTTATGTGTCTAGGAATTTTCACTGTTCTGAACAATATTTTCCATACATGGTTGATGATAATGAGAAAGCTATAACTAACAGAATCCCACCCATTTGAAGAAATAAAAATTCACACAATATGTTCAAATCCACAAAATCTTTATTTTCATAGTTATTATTTCAAACTTTCATATGATCAGCTCATTCAGCATAAAATCTCCGAATGGTGATTTCTCCTGCCGTTTTTCCATATAATTATAGGTTGAGGCCAAATTATTGTTCAAGCACCTTCTGAGAACATAATTAGTCTTGGATATCAAATCTTTCCCTCCCAATGTTTTCAGATATAAGGACTACAAAAAGGAATAGATATCAATCATATCAATAATGAAATAGATCAAACACACATACCACTTTGGTGAAGTTTTCTTTCTCCATTAAATATTCTTTCAATGACATTAGCCTTTCCTGACATTTTAAAGAAAAACCACTGGAAAATCATTAGGCAAAGAACTACTTCCTGAACTGAAAGTTGAGGCTTGTCTATTGAGAAGTCCGATAATTTGATTATTTTGCTCTTCAACTTGAGCCACCAAAGATATGATTTCCTCCTGAAAGGATTTGGAAAAATCCCCTGAAGAATAGTAATACTATGTCATTACAATAACTTCATAACATCTCTGTTCAATCAATGAACATTTTGTAATTAATCAAATATTTGGGTTCATAAGATACCTGAAAATTTGTTTGCAGAAAATATTCTATTTTCGATTTGAATTTCACAATGAAAGATTCCTTTTAGTTATTCCAAGAATATAATAGGGATTCTCTGTTGTGCACTAAAAAAAAAACATATCAACAAAAAAAACATGATCATGAGCATGTCATAAACATAATGGAAATACCCTTATTATATCCACATTTCAATGTGATGAAGATAATAATTATTGCAACTGGGAAAAAGCTGAATGAATTATTATTAGTTATGACATTCTCAAACCAAAAAATACTCTATGATTCCAGAATAATAGTAAGAGGCAGATAGCTTGGACTTTCCAAGTACTCATCAACGGTAATTACACACGTGGTGGTAATGTTTTGATAATTTTAACTAGATGCATGAATCCTTGTTGCTATAGAAATCTCATGAGTGGACAAAGTTCACTAAAGGGATTTCTCAATAGCAACAAAGACAAGTGATAATCAAGTTGAAATATTTAAAAAAATACCATCATGAGGCATGAATACTTTTTTACTATCTCCCAAAATGCCCAGCAAAAACGAACATTGTACAGCCACACACCTCGGTTTTGCCTCATATATTTGTTTGAAAAGACTTGAACAAGACAATCCAACAACACAGTCTATGGGCCCCTTCATGTACTCATTTAATCGAAGATTAAAACGTGGAAAAATTATCACTGTAATTTGCTTTTTACAAATCGTCAGTATCATACCAAATGATTAGCTAGAATTAGGAGTTGACATTGGTTGAAACAATGAAAACGGCACATTTTGACATGTGAAAAAAATAATCAGGTGAACATTTTTATTGATTGATAATTTTCTGAAAACATTGACAATAATTATTGTAGAAAAAATTCCGAAATACAAAAATGTATATATCACATACAAGTCTTACCTGAGTTCAGAATATCCTTTCCCACATACGTAGAACGAGGTGTTCCTTCTATGGAAATAGTTGTAGGAGTTAAATGGTGAGAGACTCGATAGGGGACTGGTTCTTGACAAGATACTGCAAGCAAACATACAAAATAAACATACACAATGAACTACTGATATTAAGATATGAGGTAATTCCAAAATTCAGAACATCATGTCCTACTGGTGTAGAGTGAGAAGTACTATGAGAATTTGGATATAAAAAGCGAGAGGACACTACTTATTGTGAAGTCTTATTAGCCTAAATATAATTGTCTGAAACAAAAAAGGTGAAGTCACTTTCAAAATAATGATTCAACCTCTATTTTGGTACTAGTAGGTTTGACGGCACTTGAGCGAGACTTGGGCGGGGCCTAGCAGGTGGGGTGGAGCTTGGAGGGGGGTAGGGTGGAGCTTGGAGGGAGTGGGGTAGAGCTTGGAGGGGGGTGGGGTGAAGCTTCGATGGGGCGGTGTCTCACAGGTGCGGGAGTGAGTGGTGCTTGGCCTTCATTGGACGGGAAGGGGAGCTTGGATTTGATAGGCCTTAGGAGATATATTGAGTAATTGACGTGGACGTAGGGATGTGACCTCGAGTTGATTGGTTATGAGTGGAGTATATGAGATGAAAATAGATGTCAACATGGGGAGAGGGTTAATGGCTGTTTGGAGGTGTGTTTTTGAGTGTATCACTTGCACATTGGCTTGTGGGTGTGTTATATGCTGTGTACAACTGCGCGATTGGGCAGGGTATCGCTGGCATGTCGGTGACATGAAAATGAAGATTTTTGGGTGATTGTAGTTTCTATTGGATGTTGTAGGCGTATACTTCATTAACCGCATTTTGCTCATATTTATATGAGACTTCCAGTATAAATAATGTGATTTCACAAGAGAGAAATGGAAGGTGGGGCAGCAAGCACAAATCCATCAACTCTCATTGGTTGAATTGGTGAATTTCTAAGTCGAATGGTGTGGTGGGGGCCACACCTTATATTATCGATTGAGTTGTTGTTGTTGCGTTTACATCGAGAAAAGAGTTGTCACTCACCTGAGCATCGTCGAATCAGCAGCAGCAGCATAGAATGTTTTCCCCCATGAGGGGGGTGTTCAGGCGGCTGGCAATGCTTCCCTGCTAGGTACGTTTAATTTATCAGCACCAGAATCAGCATATTTTTCTCGCACGTGTATTCTACGGTTTCCCAAATATATTCATCACCCTCTTTTCCTCTCTACCTTCCCCCCTCCCTCCCCTATTGGTTGAGTTTACATCGAGAAAAGAGTTGTCACTCACCTGAGCATCGTCGAATCAGCAGCAGCAGCAGCATATAATGTTTTCCCCCATGAGGGGGGTGTTCAGGCGGCTGGCATAGCTTCCCTGCTAGTTACGTTCAATTTATCAGCACCAGAATCAGCATATTTTTTTCGCACGTGTATTTTACGGTTTTCCAAATATATTCATCACCCTCTTTTTCTCTCTCCCTCCCTCCCTCCTTCCCCTCTCCATGAACAATGTGGAGAACATCTCTATCGAAAACAAAATAATGAACCACTCACTCACTATTTCGACATACGCTTCAGACCTGTGTATACACATAGTGCACCAAAGTGGGATGAAACAAAAACAACAATGAGAATTATGGAAATATTACAGCACATAACGACGTAACCTCGTTGACTGACTGACGTAGACTGACGAAATCACCTCGGCTACATCTGATTTGAGCAGTTTGGGTATGCGTGCGCACTTCACAAGTCGAGCATTCACGAGGAAACATAAACGAATACACGATGATGATGATGTCTATATTTACCAATCCTGCCACTCCTGGCAACAAACACTCCTGCCACCTGCCTCTCCACCAATCAGACTCACCTGGTACCTACCACCCCTGCCATCAGACCCACCTGCTACCTGCCACTCCTGACAACAAATACTCCTGCCACCTGCCTCTCAACCAATCAGACTCACTTGCTACCTACCACCCCTGCCACCGAACACTCCTGCCATCAGACCCGCCTACTACCTGCTACCTGCCACTCCTGACACCTGTCACTCCTGAAATCTGCCACTTGTACCACCTGCCAGTCCTGCCACTTGCCACTCCTGCAACCTGCCACTTCTGCCACCTGCCACTCCTGTCACCTGCCACCCCTGCTACCTACCACACCTGCTACCTTTCACACCTGCTTCCTGTCACTACTGCTGTCAGTCGCACCTGCTATCTATCACTCCTGACATCTAGCATTTCTGCTCACGCTCACTCCTCTTATCGCCACTATCCAAAACCCACAAATTTTTTCATGAATACTTTAATAATAAAGTTTCCTACAGGTAGATATTTTTCCGACTTTATGACGGATCGTGGACACTTTATATTGGCTACTCCCGAGGATACCCTCGAGGCTACTCCTTGATCTGAAATTTTTTTTTGAGTCGTGTCCAGTAATCCCCGTTTTGTTTCCTTCCACGCGTATGTTTTTCATTGAAGAAGGACACATTACTATAGGTAACCCATGGTTAATAAGATGAAAAACGCTTCCTCATTTTTTTTATTTCGTCATGGAACCTACTCTTGGAATTCTTTCAATAATAATAAAACACCCACCAAGTCCACTATATATATGCTCGGTTTCACCATCAGCAATTTTTCTCATGGGTAAATCACTTCCGATCCAACGCGAAAGCTGCATCACAAAAACTCGGATTTTTGTTCTGTGTGGAAATCTACTTTACACCTCAACAGCTTCTCATGATTCACAAAGCACAAATACGGTAGATTTTAGAACACTGTTCTCACGTATAGGCTTCAGCACCCATACATACGCTGACGTTCTCAGATTCCATGCAGAGAAGATCCATCTACCTGGTGGGTGATACCATACTCACTAGTCCTTGAACATCATCAGTGCGCCGAAGAAAAGTCGGCGACCTTTCACTTTTCTATAGATACTTCCTCGGACAATGTTCCTCAGAAATCTCTGCTATAATTCTAACATTAGTAATACCAGTCAGGCGAACTCGACAGCCCCAGTCGGCACATCCTTTCGTTTACAAGAGATAGAAAACTGTTAATATAAAGTTGAGTCATTGTAGAGTTCAAATTATCGCCACTTTGTGGAATTAAGATTCTTGACCATGAAATCCTAAGTTTGGAATCCTTGAACCCCGAATTCTACAACTAACCTCACCTCGTGATTAATTCATGAACAAATATAGGCTGATATATCGTAGACACACGACAGCTTCAGTAACTCATAAGCTCTATTGGAGGATTCAGATTTTTGACATGACTAAAACGGAGTAGTGGACCAGAATATATATATTTTGTTCCATAATCATTTCATCGAACTCCAGCAGTAGGTAACGAAGGCATAGGATACTAACTTTTGTCCACTAAAACAGATCTCCAATGAAAAGTTGATTTGGAATCTATAGAACATCTCAAAAAGAAAAAGTGAAAGAGCCATTCAAAACAACATGAGTTACTTTCTATGTTGCGTCTTTTATTGGTGGAGATAAACAACACTGGTGAGGAATGCACTCTTCAATCAATTACGCGAATACAGTGCAAGATGGTGTGAGAAACACTCATCTTCAGAGATCGTGTCGCACATGGACGGTGTCGGTTCCCTTGATCACCGCTGCAATAAGAGCGCTCATACCGTCCAACCGTGACATGTTTGCTGAAGACGGGTGTACAAGAGGTGTAGGAAAATAACACATTTTTCATGTGAAACAATGACCCTTATCTCTACCTATATATTTGAATGAGTGAAATTTCAATTCAAAAAGTCTTATTTTTACAAATATCGTCGACGAAACCGCAAAACCAAGTAACTGCAAAAACCAACATTTTCAGGGGACACAAAATTTTTTATAATTGTCAGCGTAAGATACTTAGTTTTGACATCTGCCTTTGTGCAAAAGCAACAACAAATATTCAGAAAAGTAATTCATTGCAAAAACACGTAACTTCATTTTTCTGGACTTTCCGCTTAACGAATACTTGAGATATATTCTCACATCCTGTGTTGAAATACCAATTGAAGTTGAGAATGAACTATTTTACATATCTGTTCTATAAAGAGTCACTCACCAATTAGCAGAGATTGATTTCTGTGAAAAGAAAATGAACACAAAATATCAGAGGCGTGAATCACGTTGCCAACTGTTAGATACTTGTTTTTGACGACCCATTTTATTTTGTTTTTCAGATAAGGGGTTTAGAATTCATGGATTTTGAAATATTTACAATTTTTTACCAGTTGTGAGGTTTTGCATATGCATCCCCACCAATATGATAGCCGATTGTCGCCAGAATCCCATTTTCGAATTTTTGTCAGTTACTTGGTTTTGCGGTTTCGCCGACGATATGTTCAATAAACACTACTAACAACACATTTATTTTGAGTCCTTTATAGGTGTGGAATTCACTTTTCACTCAAATACTCAAATACATTTCAAGATGGTGTAAGGTACACGAGGTGAAAAATAGTGACACATTTTCAATGCGAAAAATGACGTTATTCCTCTACCTTTCTCGAACGAGTCGAACGCCCGTCAAAAATGAGTGATATTCCAATTCAAAAAGCCTTATTTTCAGAAATGCGTCAAACAATAGATACAACTCTTCATGTCACTATAATTACTTTCGATAACGATGAAATAGACAAACTTCTGAACAATTCGAAAATTTGACTCAACTGTCATAGAGCTGAATATCTTGCTTGTCAGTGGAAGAAGAGGAAAAATTAGCAAGAACTGAAAGCAGAGGGCGAATCAAGAAGAAAAGTGAGCTATGGCACAGCGTTGAATCCTCACAATGATCAACAAGTTGACGATTTTGTTTAACAATATGAAAATATTGAGTGAAAATGCTTTCGAAGATGGGATAGATATTGAACTTATTAGAAAAAATGTATTTTCGAGAGATCAATATTATCAAATATTTCATGCAGTGGTCAATGAATTGAAAAAACGGTTGTGGTTGATATTCAATTCAAAAACTTATAGAAATAACCGTATTCTCGGAATACAAAGTACTTAGTGGAATATCAACTCTCAATACAACAAGAAAACAATAAGGGTTTTATACTTCGCTTTCCTATATGTGGCGAATAAAATTTTTCCAATTCAATGCTATTCTCAGTGTATGAATGGGGAAGTTCTTTCATTATCATGGAAATATAAGTTTTTTAATAAGTCGACATACTCGGGATGAAGAATAGCAGATATTTTGAAGAGATCGTGGAGGAAAAACTTGAGAAAAATGCAGGTATTTTGGATGTTCTCTGATTATTGCCGGAAACTTCGCATTTATGAGTATGTTATCAGAATCTGAACATCTCTTTCAGATGATTTTTTTTCTAGATCTTGCAATTTAAGCAGTTTTGTTCCCTCTTCAGATATTGTTTTTGTTCTTCAATTTTTCGCCATTTATTGATTATGTGATATATGTCAGAATTGCTTTATGTTCTCAGGCATAGATTGGACATCGAGAAAATAGTTTCAATACTGTTATCCCACTAAACAATTTCAATTTACTGCAAATTTCCAGCAAGATAATGTTTGCGAATGTGAATTATACATTCAATTAGCAACAAGTTTTTTCAGAGATGGCATCTTCCTCCTATGAAATTCACACTGTTAACTTACATATAGCAAGTTTTCAGAAAACTAAATGCCACCTTTCATCTAACTTCCAATGAGTTTACTTCAAATGATATCTTTGAAACTTTCACACAATTGATGTCAAATTTCTACAAGAGCTAGCAGTAAACTTTCAAAAATTAACGCTCTCATTTGAGAGTTCTCTGCAATTTTGACAAAAACTGTATCAAGAATTGATGGTAAACTCGCAGGTTCATTGGTTTGTATGGAGTTATAAACACAAGTAATATTTAGAACAAAATCAAAGAAATTTAAAAATCAGTTAGTGTGATAGGATGGTGCAAGTTTTGAAAATATTTATGATACTGATGAAGCCATGTCAAAGGTCAAACAATTTTATCAAATTCATTTGATGTGACGTCACATAAGAATATGACATTATCAAATTATTTGATCAAACTGTATGAAAATTAAACATGAATGGGCTTTTATCAGTGTCAAAAATACTTTCGAATCTGCCGAAATTCAATTTGCAATATATATCATTCTTCTTGCAAGTATGAAAAATCAGTTATTTTCTTCATTAAATGTTTGAACTTATAATGAAAAGAGACCATGTTTTCTCAATTTTTCAGAATAATTGTTCTATTCATGAATTGAATGAATGGAAAATATCCAATTTAATTTTGTTTTGATATGAACATAGTGATGATCATGATGGGGGTGGGATAATTCTGAAATTAAAAGATCAAATCTTTTTTCATGTATTTAATTTTCATATTTATATGCATGACCAAAGTTTCAATGACCATGCTCTAGCTTAGAGCTCAGGCATCAATATCGATTAGATCTTACAGAATTTCAGCACAAAAACAATTGACTGTTGCTTCCGGTTAAACTTCGTGTTCTTATAGTTCGGTAGTTTTCGAGGAAAGCGCAATAAAAACACATCAAAAAGTGATTTTCAACACTCTTTTGACAGAACACAATCAAACTTCCTTGAACAAATTTTATTCCTTACCAAAAATTTTAGATTGAACTATTTTTGAGTAGATGTGATGATTCAGAGGAGGCTTCATTACAAATAAGTGAATATTTATATGCTATATGGAAATTTTTAAATATTTTTTATGTAATATCTCCTTACCTGAAACTCATTGTTTTTGAGATATTTAGTGATGAATTAGATGATTTTATAAATTCAAAACACACTATGAAACTTATTGATATTTTCGAATGCATTTTTCAAAGTGAAGTATATACTCAATAAAAACACAATAAAGGAATTGACATCTCTTCCAGTCGAACAGAAAGTGAACAATAAACATTCCAATCTTTTTTATTAATATATTTAGATCCTCCTTGTTATGTATTTCACCAACGTGAGACGATACAAACATGAAGAAAACACTTTCTTTGAATGTCTAACTTTAATTTTCATACTTGTAATCACATTGTTACAACAAAAGCGTTCGCCGCCATGGTCAAACATCGAGAGAGAGAAAACCCAAATACCAATATCGCAATGTTACCAACATGACACATCACTCCTGTCAGCCTGATCAGTGATCATGTCAATACCAACATAGTTTTCATTCTTTATTTCAGTTAGTTTCTTGGATTCTAGGATAATTTGAGAATTTTTCCCTACTTTGTAGATTGATTTTAGTAGGTTTGTCAGTGTTTTGAAAACAGCTACACCAGTTCTGTCAGATATTATATTGCTTCATAAATCTTTGAAATGACTAGGTTGTTGTAAAGAAATATTTCCTCAAAATTTTCAGTGACCTCAAGATAATTTCTC